ACGGACAGAATTCATTTCAAACCATTGAAATGGCACCATAGGTTACAGAAATGTATATTAACGAAGCCCATGTCGAATAGCAAGCACAGCAACAATTTACGAACACAATAGACCTTAATGCTTTGTCTAGAATACACACACATTTCAGAAAGGTATCTGACTGGTAGATTCCAGGGTTTCCCCCTCTGCTAACAGGGCATATTGGGTGGCAGGGGTTGGATCGGAGTGGACGAAATTAGAAGCGTGGTTAGTTCTTACTTCACATCCTTGAATATCACCGGGTGGGCTCCGGGGGACCCACTTCTTGCGGAAACATAAATAGCCCCACTGCCTCCCAGAAAAACAGCATGTCGTACAAGGCTCCTAACTAGTGCAGTTTGCTGTAAGCCAGGGTGCATGCACTTGAGAGGCGAAGAACCAGCTGTCTGCGTACAAATAAACTGGCTCTGTAAAACGGATGTGCATGAAAAACTTAGCCTCTGAAACAAGACTAAAGTCAAGAAATGGACCAGCCATAACTTGCCGCCGGAGTTTACATCCGGGGTAGGCTAGGAAAAGGAAAGCTGCTAGAACGACTCTCACGGACTCAACCGTTTCATCTGTACACGGCAATTTCTCAATCCCCGCTAGATCTCAAACAAACTGGACCTTTCCTGTGACCCCTGTCACTGAGTCCAAGAATGCAAACTGTTGAACTCGCCTCCCTAGTTGTCATTAGTTAAACATTGCGGAGCAATGAGAGACACGGGTTTTTTTTCCTTCTGTCAGTGAGATATCTGGTAACCACTTCAAAGGGTACCCATCAGCAAGCTCTCTATAGGCTATCTTTCGTAGGCTCAGGCCTATTTGAATGGGAAATAGTACACTACTTGAGCGGAGGAATCTGTTTGCCGATGGGTGTCTAGATGTAGGAGGCACTCACACTCCGCAGTAACGCGACACCCTATCTTTGAGATAGCGCGGGGAGCCAAGATGTGGGGAGTGCAGTCAACTTATAGATAAAGTCGAGGAAATGACCGGGGGAAACATGAAGATAATTAATGCGGGGATATGATGAAATGGGACATGTTGTTTCTCGGGCAGTAGCGCCCCTTCCTTCAAGGGGCCGGAACCACCCGCAGTCCTTCTCCTTATCTACCCTACTTGAGGAGAGTTGTGGTGATGGTGGGGGGCCGGGGAAGGGGTTAGCAGTGTCAAGATAGAATAATGAATGGTGGGCAGGATAGGTGTGAACAGATAGGCGGATTGAAATTTACATGATAATTAATTGTGTATATCGATGAGTGAAGTTTATATACGGATGGAAGGATGACTGGATACATGAATGCAATGATAAGTGGATACACGGATGGAAGGATGATTGGATAAATGAATGAAATGATGAGTGGATACACTGATGGAAAGATGATTGGATACACGGATGGAAGAATGAGTGAATACACACATGGAAGGATGAGTGGATACATGAATGAAATGATGATTGGATACACAGATGGAAGAATGAGAGAATACACACATGAAAGGATGAGTGGATACACGGATGGAAGGATGATTAGATACACGGATGGAAGGATGAGTGGTGCGCGGATAGAAGAATGAATGGATACCCGGATAGAAGGATAAGTGGATACGCGGATAGAAGGATGAGTGGATACTCGGATGAAAAGATGAGTTTATACGCAGATGGAATGATGAGTGGATACGCGGATGACAGATTGAGTGAATAGGCGGATGGAAGGATTAGTGGATACACGGATGGAAGGATAAGTGGATACACGGATGGAAGGATGGGTGGATACACGGATGAAAGGATGAGTGGAAACACGGATAGAAGGATAAGTGGATACATGGATGGAAGGATGAGTGGATACGCGGATGGAAGGATGGGTGAATACACGGATGGAAGGATGAGTGGATACACGGATGGAAGGATGAGTGAATACACGGATGGAAGGATAAGTGGATACACGGATGGAAGGATAAGTGGATACACAGATGGAAGGATAAGTGAATACACGGATGGAAGGATAAGTGGATACACGGATGGAAGGATGAGTGGATACACGGGTGGAAGGATAAGCGGATACACGGATGGAAGGATAAGTGGATACACGGATGGAAGGATGAGTGGATACACGGATGGAAGGATGGGTGAATACACGGATGAAAGGATGAATCGATGGCTGGACAGATGAAAAAGGATAGGACGCGTGCATGAAAGAATGTATTCCTCCTTATTTGGATGACCGCATCAAGGAACGGCACGATAATGGATGTGTGGGTGGATGTGTGGGTGGATGTATAGGTGGATGTGTGGGTGGATGTATGGGTGGATGTATGGGTGGTGTATGGGTGGATGTATGGGTGGATGTATGGGTGGATGTGTGGGTGGATGTGTGGGTGGATGTAAAAGGGGGGGGGGGGTTGATGATTAGCTAAACGTACGCATAAATAGATAGATAAATCCTCTTGCGCTATGTGCGTTGTATGGTATCCATGGTGGGGGGGGGTTGATCCTCTTTGCGCTGTGTGCGTTGTATGGTATCCATGGTGACCAAACCCTCCTCTTGCGCTATGTGCGTTGTATGGTATCCATGGTGACCAATGTCACCCTCCTCTTGCGCTGTGTGCGTTGTATGGTATCCATGGTGACCAATGTCACCCTCCTCTTGCGCTATGTGCGTTGTATAGTATCCATGGTGACCAATGTCACCCTCCTCTTGCGCTATGTGCGTTGCATGGTATCCATGGTAACCAGTGTCACCCTCCTCTTGCGCTGTGTGCGTGATTTCTGTGGGGACTTTTTCTCTGATGGTGTTGATCCGCTTTCTTCTGGTCATCTTTCTCAAACATCTCCTTTCCATGGTTACCTATCTGTTACCATGTACTGGGTGACCTATCTGTTACCATGTACTGGGTGACCTATCTGTTACCATGTACTGGGTTACCTATCTGTTACCATGTACTGGGTTACCTATCTGTTACCATGTACTGGGTTACCTATCTGTTACCATGTACTGGGTTATCTATATGTTACCATGTACTGGGTGACCTATCTGTTACCATGTACTGGGTTACCTATCTGTTACCGTGTACTGGGTTACCTATCTGTTACCATGTACTGGGTGACGTATCTGTTACCATGTACTGGGTTACCTATCTGTTACCATGTGCTGGGTTACCTATCTGTTACCATGTACTGGGTTACTTATCTGTTACCATGTACTGGGTGACCTGTCTGTTACCATGTACTGGGTGACCTATCTGTTACCATGTACTGGGTTACCTATCTGTTATCATGTACTGGGTTACCTATCTGTTACCATGTACTGGGTGACCTATCTGTTACCATGTACTGGGTTACCTATCTGTTATCATGTACTGGGTGACCTATCTGTTACCGTGTACTAAGTTACGTATCTGTTACCATGTACTGGGTTACCTATCTGTTACCATGTACTTGGTGACGTATCTGTTACCATGTACTGGGTGACCTATCTGTTACCATGTACTGGGTTACCTATCTGTTACCATGTACTGGGTTACCTATCTGTTACCATGTACTGGGTGACCTATCTGTTACCATGTACTGGGTGACCTATCTGTTACCATGTACTGGGTGACGTATTTGTTACCATGTACTGGGTTACCTATCTGTTACCATGTACTGGGTACGTAGTATTATTGATGCCTTATCAAATTCGTTGGGCTGGTCATGTGGCACGCATGCCAGGATCACAGGCCCCCAAAAAACTATTCAAGGTGAGCTGCAAAATGGGAGACGTTCCCAAGGTGGGCAAAAGAAACGCTTTAAGGACACCTTGAAGTCTTCACTCCAAGCATTTGGGATGAAAGACACCAATTGGGAGGCTGCCTCTCAAGACCGAAATGCATGGCGTGCAGCTCCACACAAGGGCGCGGCTACACGTGAAGCAAACAGAACAGCAATCAAGAAAAGGGTGGACAGAAAGGCGACTACAGGAGATCCCCTCCCTGGCACAACACTCATTCCCTGTCCTCACGTTCCAAGAACTTTTCAGGCCCACATCGGCCTCATCAGTCATCTTCGTACTCATACTTGATGAAAAAGAATTGTCATCATTATCTTGATGGACAACACACACACACACACACACACATACACACACATGTAGTATTAATTAGATAAATAGGTAGGCGTGGAATCAGACCAACAGGCAGGTAGACGGCCAGAAGAAGAAGTAGGCAGACAGACAAGTAGGCAGGTAGACGGCCAGAAGAAGAAGTAGGCAGACAGACAAGTAGGCAGGTAGTTAGATCACAAATGAAGCAACGGAATGAACGCGTGACGACTGTAGGAGTGAAAGGCAACATGTGTGTAAACAGAAAACAGTTGGTACCACGATCTGATCTACATCTGACAATCAACAGACGGCGTCAACAAACAACAGAAGCCAGGGGTGGCAACAACTTGTTTGTCTTACACACGTCGCTAGTTTTTCTGTTGCTGCGGCCCGGGGGAAGCCCGTCCGTCTTCCTCATGACCATCTGGTTTTTCTCCTATCCTTATTTTTATCCTTCATCGGCTTTGAACTACAGCGCAAAGTTCTGGTTGTTTGTCCACTTCTGGAGCTTCGTCTTGTTGAAGAATTATTATTTGTATGCACGTTCGTTTTACAGATCTGACTTAGGTGTATGCAGACTCTTAGTTCCTTGCCTCTCAGGCAGACGTACCCAAAAATGTCACAAGAAGAAATGGAGTTTGTCTTAAATTGAAAGAGTTTTCCTGCTGGTCTTGAAAGTCTGAGGAAAAGTCCCATCGGTAATAATGTGGCGTCCATCACGTGGTGCCGGTGCCTGGTCGTCTTGTGATGTAACACCTAACGACCATACCAGCTTGGTGCATCCTGCAGCCGTGTGTGGCTATGGAGGATCGGTCAGTAGAAGCTCTCGGTTGTAGCCTACCAAGAATAGCAAGACATGTAATACGACAGTGATAACAAGCACATGCGTGTACTTACCACCCCGTCACACGTGCTGATGGCCACACTGGATCCGTGCTCATCCTCCAGAACGATCCCAGAATAAAAACAATCCAAACGCTGATCACTGACCTCCTCCAGCCAGGAGACGTTTCCCTGCACCCGCTGGATGACAAAGCCAGGGGAGAGAAACTCCGAGACCTGGGTCACTACCACCGTGATGTCTTCAAACAGGTCAGGGGCACTTACTGACAGCACCAGCTGCGACAATACATCATTATCTCCCCTTGAGTACCAACCACTTGTCCTTGATTTAAATCTACCACTTTTATACCTACCACGGTTGCTATGACTACTATTACTACTAATATTACTACTTATATTATTAATATAAAAATGACTACTTCTATTATTACTATTACTGACAGTAGAATTTCCATGTGGACTGTCTGTCAAGTCAGCCAGATGGCTTGACTGGGACAGTGTCAGTTGAGCACGTGCGGTGTCCTTATGGTCACTTCCATCTAGAACATAATTCACCTTGGATGTGTTGCTGACATCGTCACTAAAATATCCCCCGGTAGAGTTGATTGTTGGCTGGTTGAGGAGCAGGGCCCGACTGACAGAGCCAGGGGTGTAGGATCGCCGGTACCTCCTTGTGGCTGCTGGAAAACATAATTACAGGCGATTACTGAGTGCAGTCTATAAACGCCCTACCACAGGCTGGTATCATATTAACTGTCTGTCTGTCTGTCGTCTATACACGCCCTACTACAGGCTGGAATCACATTAACTGTCTGTCGTCTATACACGCACTACCACAGGCTGGCATCATATTAACTGTCTGTCGTCTATACATGCACTACTACAGGCTGACATCACATTAACAGTCTGTCTGTCTGTCTGTCTGTCTGTCTGTCTGTCTGTCTGTCTGTCTGTCTGTCTGTCTGTCTGTCTGTCTGTCTGTCTGTCTGTCTGTCTGTCTGTCTGTCTGTCTGTCTGTCTGAGTGGGACCACATCCCACACCCAGTGTGCTGTGAGTGGGACCACATCCCACACCCAGTGTGCCATGAGTGGGACGACATCCCACACCCAGTGTGCCGTGAGTGGGACCACATCCCACACCCAGTGTGCCGTGAGTGTCACCACATCCCACATCTAGTGGCTCTATAGAAATGTATGTAGCATCATATGCTAAAGCTCTTGGACTGTTCTACTTTGTGTGGATTCCGGAAACAAAAGGTGGGGGGGGGAGGAGGGGGCGCTAGAATAGCACCACACGGTTAGCATGTCGCAAATGTCAAATAATGAGTGGGCTTTCCTTCAAAGTCGTGCTGAACCACATACATACAAACAAGTTAGATTTGTACAACAGGTGTGCACGGAAAACTCAAGCTGTGCACCAAGACTGAAGTTCAGAAGTGGATGAACAATTAGAACTTTCCGCTGGAAAAATTACCGCTGGTAAAGACGAAGAAGAAAACGAGACTGTACTGTTCACTGATTTCATCAATACTGCTGCCGCAGATGATAATGGTGATGACGAATATATATATATATATATATATATATATATATATATATATATATATATATATATATATATATATATATATATACCATGTCTAAACGGGACGCCCAGTGATCTCCATATACGACAAACACTAGTGGCTGCCCCCACACCCACCGTGCCTGCCCCCCCACCCACTGTGCCTGCCCCCACACCCCACCTGCCTGCGCTCACACCCACGTGTTCCTGCCCCACTGTGCCTGCGCACACACTCATCGTGCCTGCCCCCCACTTAACACCCACGTCTGCCCATACACCCACCGCCTGCCCACCGTGCCTGCCCACACACCCACTGTGCCTGCCCTCACACCCACTATTCCTGCCCACACATCCACTGTGCCTGCCCCCACACCCACTGTGCCGCCTGCCCACACACCCACGGTGCCTGCCCACACACCCACAGTGCCTGCCCCCAAACCCACCGTGCCTGCCTGCAGCCAGACGAGTCAGCGCGCCATCTTAGCGTTAAGGCGATAGTGATCTACGCTGCGTCTAATTTCTCGACCTTGTATAAACACTATTTGCGCTTGTCTAGTCCCTTATCCAAATCCCTTAGCGATAAGCCCTCATCTTATTTCTGTTGCGAAATCCTATGGTTTGACTGGGAATCTGATATCTCACCTTTTCGCTGTCGTCTCTGCTCAAAGGTAAAATGTCTCTTTAACTTGCCCAGTACACATATTTCACACAAAAAGTGCAATTCGGACATATTCAAATATTTACGGTCATGCCGGGACATTTTTGTTAGTTTTATGTTCTCCACGACAGTGATTGTCTGGGGTGAATACTTTGCATAGTATTTGTTGGTTAGTAGCCCTCGACTTAAAACATCGCTTGGGAACAGAGATTTAAAAAAACGTCCAGCGAATATCCAGAAGTATTTGTCACGGTGGTACCCACAGCCAAAAATAATCACTGGACCCAAAAAATAATTAATACAAGATAGGTAAGAAAGCACTAACAATTAGCAGATTAACAAAAAGGGTTTGGGAAAACAGAAAGGTCCGGATAAACAAAATCTCTTGTCTATCAAGCTTGTGTTCTCAGCACTCTACGGTAATGAAACTTGGCCAACTTACTGGCACCAGGACAAACGGCTAAATAGCTTTCACACACGATGCCTAAAAAGAATATTTGGCATCAAGTGGCCAATCGAGATAACAAACACCGAGGTTTTGGAAAGAACAGGTATTACCAATTTAATCAATGCTCAGTCTACAAAGGATTAGTTGCCATACGGACATCATTATTGGTGAGTTACAGTGGCTAGAATATTTCGAGGTCAGACTCTGATGGGAAATAAAGAGGTGTGAAAGTAGGACATGAATGATACAGGTATTGAGCTAGAGCTGAGGACTGAGTGTCTTAGAAGAAACACACTGAACACATATAGTGGCAACAACAAGCAGAAATACTCCCATTATCTATTTCTCGAAGACTTTTCTTAATGCGGGTAGGTCTTGCTAGTCACACTCGCCATCGCCAGACAGACAGACAGACAGACAGACAGACAGACAGACAGACAGACAGACAGACAGACAGACAGACAGACAGACAGACAGACAGACAGACAGACTGGACAGACAGACAGACAGGACAGACAGACAGACGACAGAAAGACAGGACAGACAGACAGACAGGCAGGCAGGGCAGGGCAGGCAGGAGCAGCAGGCAGGCACGGCAGGCAGCAGGCAGGCAGGCAGACAGTCAGACAGAGCACCAAGACAGACAGACAGACAGACAGACAGACAGACAGACAGACAGACAGACAGACAGACAGACAGACAGACAGACAGACACAGACAGACAGACAGACAGACAGACAGACAGACAGAAGACAGACAGACAGACAGATTAGATAGATAGATAGATAGATAGATAGATAGATAGATAGATAGATAGATGGATAGATAGATAGATAGATAGATAGATAGATAGATAGATAGAGATAGATAATAGATAGATAGATAGATAGATAGATAGATAGATAGATAGATAGATTAGAAGATAGAACGATCGATCGATCGGTCGGTCGGTCGGTCGGTCGGTCGGTCGGTCGGTGGATGGATGGATGGATGGATGGATGGATGGATGGATGGATGGATGGATGGATGGATGGATGGATGGATCGATGGATGGATGGATCGATGGATAGATCGATAGATAGATAGATAGACAGACAGACAGACAGACAGACAGACAGACAGACAGACAGACAGACAAACAGACAGACAAACAGACAGACAGACAGACAGACAGACAGACAGACAGACAGACAGACAGACAGACAGACAGACAGACAGACAGACAGACAGACAGACAGACAGACAGACAGACAGACAGACAGGACAGACAGACAGACAGACAGACAGACAGACAGACAGACAGACAGACAGACAGACAGACAGACAGACAGACAGACAGACAGACAGACAGACAGGACAGACAGACAGACAGACAGACAGACAGACAGACAGACAGACAGACAGACAGACAGACAGACAGACAGACAGACAGACAGACAGACAGACAGACAGACAGACAGACAGACAGGACAGACAGACAGACAGACAGACAGACAGACAGACAGACAGACAGACAGACAGACAGACAGACAGACAAAGACAGACAGACAGACAGACAGAAGACATACAGACAGACAGATAGATAGATAGATAGATAGATAGATAGATAGATAGATAGATAGATAGATAGATAGATAGATAGATAGATAGATAGATAGATAGATAGATAGATAGATAGATAGATAGATAGATAGATAGATAGATAGATAGATAGATAGATAGATAGATAGATAGATAGATAGATAGATAGATAGATAGATAGATAGATAGATAGATAGATAGATAGATAGATAGATAGATAGATAGATAGATAGATAGATAGATAGATGGAACTTCAATTATTTTTGCTCTTTTTTGTCTGTCTGTCTGTCTGTCACTCTATCCACTATCCCACTCTCTCTCTTTCTCTCTCTTTTATCTCTCTCTCCAACTCTCTCTCTCTCTCTCTCGATCTTTCTCTCTCTCTCTCTCTCTCTCTCTCTCTCTCTCTCTCTCTCTCTCTCTCTCTCTCTCTCTCTCTCTCTCTCTCTCTCCTGTGTAAGTTCGGGAAACAGACAGATGTGGAAAGGAGAATGTAAATCTGAAATAAAAAACACAATGTTTAGTCTATGTTCAGAACTGTGTAGTCTGCGATGAAACATTTCCAGCCTAGAAAACCCACCCTATACATAGACGGACAAAGAGCTACGGCTGCAAGCTTCCAAAATGATGGTGATTAGATTAGGTTAAAAAAAAATAGGGTTCCTGTTGGAGTGACATTTGAAATGCGGCTCATCGGGTCACTGTGATTTCCTGTGTGCGAGCCATAGAAGAGGTGGGGCGAGGAAATTCACAAAAAACAATTCACAAAATAAAAGAAACTGTCTCATGTAGCCATAAATGTTTAATCTACGCTAAAAAGTCTTTAGACAGTGAGAATAAATGTCCATTCTACAACATAAAATATCTAGTCTGTGAGAGAAAATGTCTAGTCTGTGAGAGAAAATGTCTAGTCTGTGAGAGAAAATATCAAGTCTGTGAGAGAAAATGTCTAGCCTGGGAGAGAAAATGTCAAGTCTGTTAAAGGGAGAGAGGTCAATGCCAGAGATATGATATAACTTAAACACTGACGTCTACAATTGAAACAGCGTGGTCTACAATAGAAACAACGTGGTCTACAATAGAAACAGTGTGTTCTACAATTGAAACAGCGTGGTCTACAATAGAAACAGTGTGTTCGACAGTTGAAACAGAGTGGTCTACAATAAAAACAGTTTGTTCTACAATTGAAACAGCGTGGACTACAATAGAAACA